AGAAAATCATCTAAACATAGTAAAAATGCATGTTTTATAGATACAAAAAATCAAGATATTGTTATCTAAATATTAACTCAGAAAAATGTTTGATATATTAGGAAATCAAATATTTGTTAGTATATTATCTAAAAATGATAACATTTGTTATTGTCTTTAGATAAAATGAAAATAAATGTTATTTAACGTGACTTTTTATAAACAGCAACCGTGGCGCAGTAATAATAATTATAACTCAGAACGAGGAGGTTTAATGCCGGCTCTAAACCAATAACCGTCATTGGAAAGGAAGAAGACTTTCTAGATAATCGCTCCTCCGCTGTGTTCTGTGATAACTACTTTACGGCTTTTTGGAGAAATTTAAGAAAACTTTTAAGTCACTGGCAATTTAGAAGGAAGGGTCACCCTGCTAAAATTTTGAAGTAGCGCAGTTCCGTTTACTGTTTAGGTCTCTCTGTTGACTTTAATCGCCACTGCTCATATTAGAAAAAAAAAACAGCATTCCACATTTTTGAGTAAGTACTGCAGAGATGATTCATTAATTAATCCAAGGTTTTTTTCTTAGCACAGCTTTCTTGAAATTATTTATCTGAAAATTCGCTTGTTTGTTGGTTCATCGAGGTCGTTATCAATAATTCCAATTAAAATTTTCTAAATTTAATTAGTTAACAATTTTTACGCAAGTCCTCTAGATACAACTACTAAATATAAACAAATTAGCAAACAAATTTAAAAATAATTTTATAAACGTTAATTTTTATTTTGTCTCTTCCGTTATTATTCACATAAGTTTAAAAGGACAGAAGCAAAAGCCAAGTTTGGCTTTATCTTCTATCCCTTTAAACTTTTGCATTTGCAAATGCGCAATAAAAAATCCGGGGATACTTAATTTTTCGTTTTTTTTTTTTTTTTTACGGTTACCGCAGGTCTACTAATACGCCATTTTTTTCGGCTTTTCCGCTTTTCGGCGTTTTAGGCAGTCCCCACTTTATATTCATTTAACATCAATTAACAGTCACAGTCGTTTAACATCAATTAACAGGTCAATTAATCATGACATTTTAAAAAAGAATGAAGCTATTAAAATACAAAAAAATGCGACCATCAAAAATCAATTGCATTAGGGATCGTCCATAAATTACGCAACGCTTAAACATCACTAATAAACAAAACAAAAAAGATCAAAAGATTTCCCTTAAAAAAAAAATTCAAAATAGCAGGTTAAGTTTAATGAAATCGCTGCGTAAAAGAGCTTAATATCTTCTACTTCTGATTTTAAATAAATTTAGCGTTGGGTAATTTATGGACGATCCCTTACCTACTTTTGAAATTTAAAATGTTTCGAAATTATTTTTATGTCTGAAATACAATGAAAATATATTAGGAAAAAATACTGGTTACAAAATGATTAACCAAAATATTTAAAAAAAGATTAAAACTTTTTTTAAATATTTTGGTTAATCATTTCAACAAAAAATAAAAATTTTAATACTTTTTGTCATTATTCTTTTTTACGAAAACATAAGATATAGACTTTTAAAATTTAGGATTAAAAATAATTATGCCAACCATAAAACGTTTATTGTCAAACGTATTAACAGTTAAAGTTCAAAATCCATATTATGAAATGCATAGAAAAATTTGAAATAATAAAAAATTGAAATTGGCAATGATTGAATATTGCCAGTGCTAATAATATTGTTTTAGTTACAGTTAGTTTTAATGATTCTGCAGATTGAATAAATTTTTACAAAGAATACAAAAAAATAAAGAATATAAAAGAGTAAGTATTTTTTTAACAAAATACTAATTTACATTGGTAATAATTTTATTAAATTTTTTATTCGTTAGTATTTCATAAACAAAACACCTATACATTCGATGCAAAGCAGAATCAAAAATTAAAAACTTAATAATAGGTTGCAGTCTGAGTTGAATGTTAGGTGTCAACTTAATTTCTCCGCGCAGCGGTCTTGCTTGTCAAGGTTCGTGTTTCGGAGTTAAAGAGTTGAGAGAGGGTTGTACCACGATTTACAACAAAAAAAAAGAAAGAAAAAAAAAAAAAAAAAAAAAAATGAGTAGCCTCCTGACTTCCTCGGGCCTTGGGGAGGTGAATAATTAAAAAAAAAAAAAAAAAAAGTGTGAAGCATATTCTTATATATTCTGCGGCCTTGGCGCAGAGGTTTGAGCGCTTGCTTTATGAGCAGGAGATCCTGGTTCGAAACGAACTCTGGACATATACTTGCGTCACGGTAAGAAAGGAGACGTGAACTTCCTAGTTAAATGCACTTCCGCGGTGCTCTGTTACAAAACCGTTATGTCTTCTTGGGGCACCTTAATAAAAAAATAAAAAAATTATTCCTAGTTCTTGTATTATGAATTCCAATAATATACAAAGATTATCGTGTTTATGACATAAAAAAAACTTGTCATAAATTAGCTCAAAAATATCCGAATAATTTAAAATGTCGCAGGATACTTGAAGCCTCGAATGTTCACACTTTAGAGATTTGATTTTAACACAAACAAGTTTAAAATTTTAAAAATTTAATATACCAACTGCATGTCTTTCAATAAACCCTATTAAAGATAAAACTTTAGAAGTTTCTCTAAATTTATAACTAGTGATGAGAGTGAAATTGTGTTTTGTTGTGTAATAGTGCCAGTGAGTATTCTTTTTCTTGATTTAAAAAGAAATTCAAAAATGTTTCTTTCAAAAATGTTTAAGTATAAAAAGTATTTTTTTTAAGTTGTAGTTATTTTGGTTTACAATAAAATTTTGTAATATATATATATATATATATATATATATATATATATATATATATATTTATATATATGTGTATATATATATATATATATATATATATATATATATATATATATATATATATATATATATATATATATATATATAGAGAGAGAGAGAGAGAGAGAGAGAGAGAGTTAGTTGAGTTATTCAACGTTTTTCCTATACTAAATTGATCAAACGCAAATCTAATGGTGGACAAAAGGAGGGTTATCAGATATAAAATTGGTTAGAAAACTGGTTAACAAATTTATAATTAACCTAATTCTCTCAATAAGAAAACGCACAAAAAAATGCAAATTTATAGTTTGTGCATGCATAGTTTTGTTGGAAAAATGCATAGTTTTGTTGCAAAAAATTGAAATAAACATGGTCTTCATTCTTTCAAGTCAAAAAGAAGCCGCTGCAGAAATTTGCATGAAAACTTTATTTCTTAAAATGTTTGTATTATTGAAGTTGTTGAAAATTCCATCTGGTACGATTGACTACGGATTCCAGGTACTGTCTATTGTATCACTAAATATAGGGGATAAGAAAATTAAATACTCGAAACATGATTTTTTTGAAACAAGTTTGCAAAAAAAACTTGATTTGCAAGGTGCTTGCAGGGGTGATAAAAATAAACAACTTTTGTTTCTGAGTCACACACTTTTTGGTAGCGTATATATTTAAGAGTGTTTACAAAAAACATCAAGTTATTAAGTCATCAAGTAAACTTGCTATGGAATGGTATAAACAAAATGATGTGAAAGTTGTGCTTAAAACAGAAAATCCTCCAAGAATCTGCCAAGAATTGAGAAGTACTGGACAATTATATAACAAAAAATGAAAAAAAGCGGGAACATTTCGAAAATGTCATTTAAAAAGCATTAAATAGTTTTGATTGTTGTTCAGTGCGCAAAATAATGGATACGACCAATCCAAAAGTTGGAAATTTTATTAGATGCCTAATGAAATAAAATATTTACCTTGAAATATTTTATCTTTTTATATTAATTTAATAAAGTTATTGCTTAGTTCTAAATAAAAATTGATAAGTACTCTTTTTATAGTAGTTTTTCTACTTTCACATTAATTTCGTGTAGACGCTTTAGATAATAATACAAATATAAAATACTATATAGATTAAAGAAGGTGTTTGTGTATGAGAGAGAGAGAGAGAGAGAGAGAGAGAAAGAGAAAGATAGACAGAGAAATGACTACACAGCAAAAAATATAACGCTAACATAACGGTTACATAACGGTAAATGAAAAATTTGGCGTTATGTTTACCGTTATGTTAGTAATAAATATGTCTAAAGCGTTATGTTGGCCACAGTTATTTGTATATTTTTATATAAATGTAAGGCGTTATGTTTACCGTTATGTTTACCGTTATGTTTAGTAAACATAACGGCATAGTCTATAGAAATATACCCTATAGAAATATACCATAGTCTATAGAAATATACCATAGTCTATAGAAATATATATAGGGTATATTTCTATAGACTATGGGTAAACATAACGGTAAATTGGAAATATGTAATCTATGGAGAAAAAAAAAGCGCGAAAAAAAAAAAACGCGAAATGAAAGAATCTTTTAGGACTGTTTATTCGTTGCACAAGACTTTTTAAAAAAAAAAAAAAATATGGTTGACTATTTGTAGCAAAATAAAACGATTTATAAATCGTTGATATATATATCGTAATGCATAAGCTATATATAACAACGGTAAAATATAATGCATATAATAAATATATCAATTTTACTGGAAAACATAATGTTTTCCAGTAAAATTATAATATTAGTTTATATATATATATATATATATATATATATATATATATATATATATATATATATATATATATATATATATATATATATATATATATATATATATATATATATATATGTATATATGTATATATATATATATATATATATATATATATATATATATATATATATATATATATATATATATATATATATATATATATATATATATATATATATATATATATATATATATATATATATAAATCCCTAAGTAAAATCATATAATATATGATTTAAATATTATATTAGTTAACGTGCCTTATTATTATTTTATTTTTAATTTTATTATTTAATGTGCCTTATTATTTATACAAAATAATATTTATACAAAACATGGTTTAATGCCATTACTTTCATAATTGATATAGTAGAGAAAAGAAAAATCAAAGAAGAAGTTAAAATGGTCAAAGCTGTTCTTGTTAAGCACCTTGGAGAGCGAAAAATTGTTATTGCTAATAATAGCAGTATTAATGATTTTTTGAATAATAGTATGCATATTTATTTTTAAAAATTTCAGAAATTTACATTTAATAATGTTTACTGATTGTTGTTAAGAATTATTGTTATTAAATAATATTGCCTAAGTAAATTTTTTCAATGTATATCTATTTAATATTTTCATTTTAATTCTTATAAGTTTTTAAAGTTATTGTTTTTTTTATTTCTTATATGTTTTTAAAGTTAACTTATATAAACTTGACTATAGTCAAGTTAACTTAAAAAACAGACTGCCCACTTTAAACAGATACATTTCAACATAAATCAAAATTTATCTTTATTTATACACATAAATATATATTTTATTATATGTTTTATTTTAAGTGGCTGCTTTTAAGTGGGGTTGTCAAAGTCTGGTGTCAAAGTTACGCCACATAACCTTTTTATTTTGAAAACTCTTTTTAAATAAATTTGAAATATGCTTAGAGCCTATTAGAAAAATATTAGAAAATTTATGTTATGTTTTTATTTTAGTTTCAAAGTTGTGTTGTGTTATTTTAGTTTCCAAGAAGTTTGCTAGTACAAGTGGGAACATTTGTGGAATCACATGGAATGGATGTAATGTCGATGAAGATACTTTTGTTGCCATTCTAAATAAGCAAAATCTGGAAGTTGAGGCCTTGTCTTTGCCAGTGTCTAAACTTTATTCAAGCTCTTTTTGCCAAAGTTTAAATGATTTTTCTCCTGTTAAAAACCCTGTATACACCGACCTTGAAAATTTTCATGCTTCTTCACCACACCAGTGTTTATCTTTACCCGTGACAAATCTAGAGAGCACAGCTGATGTAACTGAACCAGTTTTTATTCAAGAAGCTTTACCTCAAAAATGTGCATTTTCACAGTCTTCATTGGCAGGCATTTCCAGTCAACCATCCTATACTGCTTAAGTGGCTTTAACATCTAATCCACTAACAAATGCAATCCAAAAAGTAAGGTTAAATTGTTGTATTTGTGATTTTAAAACATATAGACATTATATAATGATATCTCATCTTAAATTACATGGTCAGGCAGGTTCAGTAGTATGCGATAATTGTTTTTCTAAATTTAAAAGTGTTAGAGGTTTTCAACTTCATTATAAAAACTGTCTCATTCCAATTACTATGATTGAAGATGTTGAAGAAATTGATGACACTGTTGAAGAAATTGATGACACTGTTGAAGAAATTGATGACATTGAGATTCCTTCAGAGAATAGAAAGCTTGGTGCATTAGTTTTACACCTGAGAGGAAAATATAGATGTTCTGAAAATGTAGTCAATATTGTTTTTTCAAATTTAAAAGATATTTTAACTGATAACACACCAAAAGAGGAGCTATCTACAATTTGCCAGCAATTATCAGCAGAATATTTAAGAAAGCAGTACTTTAAAAATGCTTTTAATGTGCCAAAAGTTGAATCTATATCTAAAAATGGCTTACAGGGATGCTATATTTCATTTAAAGAAATACTTAAGTTTATTTTAATATCCCCTGAATATGATAAGTGTTTAGAGAATTCTTTTGAAATATTGATTTCATTGTTTTCAGATGATTTAGGTATTACCAATCCAATAGGTAAATCGAGAGGAAAGTACAAGTTGTGGGTTTTGTATTTTCAGTTGTTAAATGTAGCTGATTATAGCCTCAGTAAAACTTTTTCAATATTTCCCTTATCAATAACTGTTTCTAAATCAGTTAAAAACAAAAGCTTCATGAAATCACTTCTGCTTGATTTAGTTCAATCGCTAAATGAGCTATCTTTATTTGATTCTTCAACTTTAACCAATACTAAGGGTAAGCGATTCACAGTTAAATTGAAGAACTTCATTGGTGATTCATTAGCATGTAATGCAATTGCTGGTTTTAAGGAAGGCTTTAACAGGAAGGTTCTTAGGTGTTGTCGAGTTTGTAATTCTACTCGTTCATATATGCTTATTCATAATAGACATTCTCAGTGTATTGTTCGTGATATAGAAGAACATAAGATAAGAGTCAAAGGACTTAATAATCCACTTCTATCTCCCAAACAACGTCAAAAATGGTCAAAATTATATGGTGTTCATTCTGCAATCATTTTATCATTTTATCATTAAAAATTTTGATGTCACAAAACAAGTGCTTTTTGATCCCATGCACGATTTGTTAGAAGGTGTAAATCCTTTACAGATAGAACTTTACTTAAATAATGCTGTTTTTCAAGGTTTATTTACACTAGATAGCCTAAATGACTTTGTAAAGTGCTTTCAGTATCCACAGGACAGTGAAAAACCACCAATAATAGTCGATTTAGTTATTAATGGAAAATTTGGAAGTGCTCAGGTGTTATCTCTTTGTCATGTTTTGCCAATTTTTTTGAGAACCACTGAGATTGATCTTCATTTTTTATGCCTAATTAAACTTCTTCATATACTTCAACTATGTCTTTCTCCTATTACCACTGACGCTTATTTATTTTCCTTAGAGGAAAAAATAGCTGCCTATCATGCACTTTTTATGGAATTATATCCAGAAAAATTTATACCTAAGCTTCATTTTCTCATACATTATCCACAACAATTCAGATAATTTGGTCCTCTAAGATACCACATGTGCATGGGATTTGAGAGAAAACACCAAGTAATTAAAAATATCAGACATTTTAATTTTAAAAATATGCCATATACTGCCCAAAGGGGATGATTTTAAACACTGTTTCATCTTTTTACAGCTCTTCTGGTGAGTTGAATAATGGAGTTCTCTGTGAATTAGATCAAGTAACTTTTAAGAAAAATGTAATATCTTGTATTCATTTTAATATTGTCTTGGGTCATGTTTATGGTTTCATAGTGGTTCACAATTTTTTATTTATATAATTCAGGAGATACAAGTCAGAGGTGACAGAAAGTTATTTATTACAACACAGCTCCAGTCTGTTGCATATAATGAGATAAGAGGGTTTTTTAGTGGCATTGAAGATATTTCTATTCCTTCAACACCTATTTCACCTGAAAGCATTCCTTTTCCTTGGCCTGCATTTTACTTTAAAGAGGCTGGTACCTTCTATATTGTACCCCCAGCACTGCCATGATATTACTTGTAGTTAAATAGCTACGGTCATTCATAGAGTACATATGCACCGATTTACAGAGTGAGAAACTACAACCAAAAGTTTACTGAAAAAATAATATTGCCACAAATTATTTTTGACAGTTTTTAAATGTTATTTTGCGTCATTTTATATGCATATATATATATATATATATATATATATATATATATATATATATATATATATATATATATATATACAGGGGTGTACACTCGATTTTTAGATGTTTGAGTTTTGACACTTACAGGCATTGTGCAAACTCCAAACATTTGTATGTTCATGCTTATGTCAAATGAGGATGTTTTGCAATGAATTGTGGTGATTGGAGGTTGGGAACAAAAAAACCCTAATTTTTGGGCCCACCCGGCCCTTAATGTGGGAGCAGCAAGTTTATAAATTATTTTCTATACTATTTTTGTTTAAATCAATATTCATCAACAAATTTCAAATTTCATGCAATAATCTTTTAGTGTTCAGTTTTTATGACCTTGCAAAGTTTAGAGCCCCCTCAAATTGAGGGGGGTTAAAACTTTATATGATCATAAAAACTGAACACTAAGAAAATATTGCATGAAGTTTGAAATTTGTTGATAAATATAAACTTAGATAAAAATAGAAGAGAAAATTTTTTATAAACTTGTTGCTCCCACATTAAGGGCCGGGTGGGCCCAAAAATTAGGGTTTTTTTGTTCCCAACCTCCAATCACTGCCATTCTTTGCAAAACATCCTCATTTGACATAAGCATGAAGATACTAAAGTTTGGAGTTTGCACAATGCCTGTAAGTGTCAAAACTCAAACATTAAAAATCGAGTGTACACAACTGATATATATATATATATATATATATATATATATATATATATATATATATATATATATATATATATATATATATATATATATATATATGTGTGTATATATATGTGTATATATATATATATATATATATATATATATATATATATATATATATAATATATATATGTTTGTATAGCTTTTATTCGATATTGGGAATATATATTGTCATACAACTACTACTTTTTTTTTAAAGTTAATTGAGTTTTAGGAATTTAAATCTTTAGAATTTTAAATTTTTCAATTGGGAATTCCGATATATAGGCGGTGCCATTGTCAGGCTTACATCCTGATATTGATAAAAAACATTTTTTGACTTTAGAAGTGTTATACTATAAAATGTATCTTTAAAATAAAACATTTAGAACAAGTTATAAACTATAATATAGTTTATAACTTTTTCAAAATATTTAATTTTAAAGATAAATTTGCATTTTTTTATTTGAAACTTTTATGGTGTCTAATTTAATAATGAGTTTCTCCTAATATTATGTTATTACTATCTACTTGCATATTGATTTAGATTGATAGAACTTCTTTTGTTGGTGATGTTAGACAACAACTCATTAATTACTTTCCTCTACACATTAAACATTTTGTTAGCAGCAATTCTGTAGTAGAAGATAAGATTGTGGCCAGAGAATTAATGGCTTGTCTCTTATCATTCTGCTTCTCCCATATACCAACTCATGCTATCATTGAAAATAGAGTTCTTCTGCATAAAACATTCTTTTCAAAGTTAAAGTCGGCTTGTCTCAGCTTATATCCTTGTTATGGTCAACAATGGGTTAGTGAAACATTATGTTTAATATTGTATTTGTTAGTCTAATTTGTTCATACTAAAAGTGATAGTATTAATTTTGCATTTAAAGATTTTATTCTTTTTAAGTTCATGTACTTTTTGGTTTAAATAGTGATTGTATTATGTATTATTGTTAAGTAAATTTTAAAAGTTAATGTTTTTTAAAAGTTTATTTTAACAATTTATGCATTTGTTTAGCAAACAGCCTCATGAATTTGCTATTTTGTTATTTTTATTTTATAAACTATAAGATTATATTTTGGTTATGTTAGGATCTCATTTTTAAAAAGTTGCCAAACAATTATCGACAACGACAGTATACCAAGTGTCACAGCTTAAAGGTGAAAAGGCTTCCACAGGTTTCTGTTTCAAATAACAATAGGAAACTTAAACCTGTTGTGACTGAATTGGTAGCTAATCAAGAGCAGTTATTAAAAGATGTTGAAGTAAGAAAAATGTTATTTATGGATTTAAGAAATATTTATATTACTTGTATATTGTAAAATGTTCTCTCTTAATTTATTCCAATTTTTATTAGAGTAACTTTTATAGCTCTTGTATATGTTTAAAATCTACTATTACTTTTCATTTTAGAATGAATTAAAAAAAAAAAAAGCCGTCACAGCCAACCTTGTCCATTTTAAATAGACAACTATTTGATAATGAGACATTTAGCATGATACCGAAGAGAATTAGTTTTGCTCCTACACTAATGCTGGAGGAAGCAATTCGTTTTTATGCCGATTTCAAGGATGCTATAATCAAGATTCAAGCAATGTTATTTTGGATTTCTCCAGAGTCTGGTAACCACACTGAAAATTTGTTAAAGCTCCAACAGAAACTTATTTCCAAGAAGACATGTGACAAATTGTTTATGAAAGTGGATGTAAGTTTATCACCTGAATTTTTGAATTTATTTTGAATTAAACAACAACATACATGTCTATGTTTCCATGAAACTTTTCTTTTTTGTCTTTTCTTTTTGTGTATTTGTTTAATTTTTTCATGAAAATGATTTTAAACTGGAATGTGTACTTTTAAAATTTTCACAATAGTTTTTTGAAATATTTTACTATTATACTATTATATATTTTTTAGTGTGACTCTATTGGAGAATACATAAGAGTGCCAAGTTCGTATGGTCCCCAAGTGATTTTTAACCACAAGGAGTATGGCATAAGGAGTAGACATGGTCTTGAGATGGACACTCAGCCATTAGTCAGCACCAGTGAGATGGTGGTGATTTTAGTTATTGTGTATTATTTATTGGACTTATCATATCCATCTTGTTTTGGGCAGCTGCTTGGTTTTTTTCAAGAGATATGTGAATTTGAACAATTTATTTTTAAATCAAAAAAGTGCACTGCACTGTTGAACTCTTTTCGGAATAATGTAAAGTTTATTTGAAATATATATGCATGATCCTAAACTACACGATATATAGAATAATTTATAATAATTACAAACTAACACTAATAAAAGTATTTGCAAAGCATTTGACCTGCCATTGGACATTAATTACATTTTATCCTTATGAAGAAGATAAAAATCTTATCTAACATCCAAAATGTATGGATATTTATGGAAATATTCACTCTGTTAAATAGTTCAATATCAAGCAGAGTAAATATTTCCGTAGGAACCAGTATTTTGGAGTTTCTTAGAATGAAAAAAACCTTTTTCCTCGTAAGTATACAACGCAGTTAATGTCTTTTTCCAGCGCAAACTGTTTTATAAAAAATTTATTTTAACTAGTTGTGTATACACGTATATTATACACATACATTAGTTATAACTAACAATTTATATATATATATATATATATATATATATATATATATATATATATATATATATATATATATATATATATATATATATATATATATATATATATATATAGTTATATAGTTTTGTTTTTAGTGAATTAGTTATTATGGATAAAAAGAGCATATTTTAAGATTAATAAACTTTTCTTAAACATAACGGGTAATTACCCGTTATATCAGGTTTTCAAACATAACGGATAACATAACGCCGGTTTTCGTGTTTTATAACGGGTAATTGGCGTTATGTTCAATGTATAATTCGTATGAAAATAACATAACGATAGTTACCGTTATGTTATTTTCATACGAATTAAACATTGAACATAACGCCAATTACCCGTTATGTTCAAAGTATAATTCGTATGAAAAAAACATGACGGCAGTTACCGTTATGTTATTTTCATACGAATTAAACATTGAACATAACGCCAATTACCCGTTATAAAAACACGAAAACTAGCGTTATGTTTTTTAAAATTATAACGGGTAATATTTTTACTGTGTACCTAACTTATTATAACTTAAAAAATGCAAAAGATTTAAAACTAGTTTTATAAATATATATGATATCGCACACCCTCTTATTTGGTGAGGTTCAATAAAAAAAGTTCACTGATAAAAATTTTTTCCAAATTGATGATGGGAAGTGGTCCCCCACACCTGCTTTGTAAGCCCTTTAGAACCCCGTTTTTGACAAAAATGACATATTTCTAAAATGTATTAAAATCAATAAGTATCAGTGTTACATGCATCAGTTTCACTTATTAGGGTTAAAAAAATTATAAGAATGTGTATAGCAATTACCTATTCCCAGACTCCACCCTAGGAACGCAAGGTCCCAGACCTTTTTTCAAAGCTCTTTTGAGATCCATTTTTGTCTAAAATAATATTTTTCTGAAATCTATTAAAATCAGCTTGTATTAGTGTTACATGCATCAGTTTTACTTAATAGGGTGATAACAATAAAAAGAATGTATCTAGCAGTGACAAATTCCTAGACCCCACCCTCAGGGCACTAGGACCCGTACACGTTTTTTAAGCCCTTTTGAGGCCCGTTTTTGTTGAAAATGATAATTTTCTAAAACGCATTAGAATAAACTATTGTCAGTGCTACATGCAATAATTTTACTTATTTGGGTGAAGACAAATGTATGAATGTATGTAGCAGCGGTAACTTGGGGCAAGGGGACTGGGGGTAAAAATACAAAAAGCTCTTATAACAACTTAAAAAAGATTCTTATTTTTTAACATTTCTTCAATTTTTTAAATTGTGAGTACTAGTGGCCCACATGCCCCAAACTAGATCCCCATATGCCTCTCTACCAGTCATTTCTAACTCAGCCCTAATTCAAATTTATAAATTAAAAAATAAAAAAAGTTTACTTAAACAAAAATTTTAAAAGAATGAAAAATATGATTTTATGCGATCAAGAAAACATATTACAAATAACAACATTTAAAATTATTCTAATAAAATAACATACATAATTTAATCAAACCTAGACATATTACTAAATTAAAATACTACAGAAAAACAATAGCCATATATGTACTTAACTATATATTTAGTTCATGTTATATGTATGCATATTTGAATAGATTAAATTGCTGTTATTTAGAATGATTATGGCTTAACTGCCTCTTTGTAGCTTCAGTTGAAATTTTTTTTCTATGATACTCAACTACTTGGTAAAGACGTTGACGCTGATTGTCATTTTTTGTCAAAACTTTTTTAAAGTCAGTGGCTAATTTAACTGCCCGTTCTGCACAGTCATTAACCACTTTCATGACACTAACAATCTTACAAGCAGCCTTGTAGTCATCACGATTAGCCCAAGATTTAGGAGACGATGTCAAGAATTCTTTTGGTAGATTGAGAGAGTCAAACAAATTCATTGAGCGTCGTGTAACAAAGTTAGCTATAGAAAGTTTAGAGAATGTATAAATCTTGTTTGAAGCAAGTCTTCTATTTTCACCTGGTAATGGTTCTTTTTGTAAGGCATTTACAATTTCTATTTTCTCTTCAAAAGAAATCTCTTCACTGTATAATGGGAGAGCAGCTAGATCTTCATTTAAATACCATAATTGAAGTTTAATTTTATTTTTTGCAACATTTGCATCTTTGCTGTCAACTTGACAAGAGTTCTCGATTACTTTTAAAAGAAGGAGATCATTTTTTGGTGCTTCTGTTGTGAGAGGTGCTGAAAACCAGAAACATACATAAATTGTGGTTATGAAGAGACAAATTCTTCTTAAAATCCCGAATTCTTTATTAATGACATTTAATTGATGGCGAAAACCAAAAATTTTTAAACAGTATATTCCTTTAGCCATCCATCTTGCACAATGGTAATCCCCAGGAGTGTGAATACTTGTTGTATCATTAATTTCTACCAAAAGGAGAAGAGCTAGTTGTCCAAACTCTTTATAACCATCACGTGGTTGAGTGTCCTTTAAGTTTTTTTTTAAATTTTCCACCACATCGGATTTTTGAGATGCAAGCCACTCTTTTTCAAGCTTTGTAAGGCATCCAGTTCCGCTTGTATCACTTTCAAGTGGATCAAACTTTGATTTTTCTATTAACTCTCACTGGGACTGGAAATGAGTTCAATGTTTGATCCTTTTGATACAAAAAACGTATCAAACACTGCATTTGCACAGATTTCAAGAATATGATGTCGACAGGCTAAAAACAAAACTCTTTGGTTCATTGACTTTTGTATGACAGTTATTGCCCCATTATAACTTCCTGTATTACTTGCAGTTGTGTCAAAGCAAAGACCTGCAAAATGCTCCTTAACGCCAGGTCATTCATGAATGAACTCAACTACCTTTTGTCCCATCAGAGCACCAGTACCAGCAGGTATTTCAGGGATCCCTAGTAATTTCTCAATATCCAAGTCAGATACAACAATTGGCAGACATTCACGTCTGGTTCTATCAACATATGACAACATTTTACCATTAAAATGAGCAACTAGTGGAACCAAGGGTTGAAAATCTTTTCTTACTGCTGTTGAAAGAGATTCGCGAGATGTAGTTCAAGCTTCTATTAGAGTGGAACGTGATAATGTTAATTTATTTACATCAATACCGATTGCAGCTAGGGCTGGTGTGACAACCATCATTGCTTGTCGTGGTGTTTTTTTTGTTCGGTCTTATGCTGCATGAAAGAGTTGATTATCAAGAATACAACATTTGGATACTGTAATTGAGAGTTGACTAGTACCCATAGTAGAATGTTTTGAAATTTTTCGACGATTAAAAACTTTTTGTATTTGAATTGACACATCACAGTCAGAACTTTCATCCAAAGAGTAATCTGAATTGTCATCCATCAATGTTTCTGTAGATTTAACTTTACTTTCTTTATATTGTTCATAGTGTCTTTTTTCTTCAAGCTTGCGTTTTCTGTACTTTACAACTGCTTTCTTATACATTAGGTCTTCCGATGTCATTAACATCTTTCTGGGGCCTCTCTGGTCTATCAGAAATTGTTTATCTTCATTTATCTTGATGAGACAATCCCATTCACTATGGGCAATATCAAAAAGTGTAGACATCTTGGTGGTGAATTTTTCTTCATAGCTGTGTTGAGTAGCTGATTTTCTACTTCTGTGCTTAGACACTTGAACATGTTGCTTGTGAATACTCTTTAGTTTAGCAACTACATGAGGCTTTGCTATAGTTGGAATATTAGCCTTAAGCCAGAAAATCAGAACTTTATCTGCAACTGTGTTGCAGGATGTTGAAAGTTGACTTTTTGACTATCATTTCATTAAGAACTTTACATAGTGAAACACCACTTGTTGGCAACTGACTCGGTCCATCTATTGTGGAGAGAATATTTCCAACTAGGCAAACATTTGAAGTTGAGCGTGTTGCTTTGTTTGAAGCAGCCATCTTCTTATGTAATATTTTTATACTTTTTTACTATAACAGAAAGAATATGACAGAAATTTAACAGTTACAAAGTGCTCAAAGCATAATAAAAAAATTAAAAGTCTTAGATAATACACCCGCCCCCCATTCCTAATCCTTTCCCACCCAACAATGGCCAAACATGTCATTGCTATTATTAAATTTATACAAATTTAATTTCTGAACTAAAGTTTACTTAGAAAAATTTTACTCAAAATTATAGCAAATAAAATGTTTTTGAAATCAAAGTAAGCATTTAGGAGCGACTTTGGGTAAATTATGCTGAGGGGGGTTAATCTAAATTTGCTTGTACTTTCCAGTCTTCTGTAAACTTCTATGTTGTAACATTATAATACTTTATATTATTTGTTTTTAGATCAGCAGTATTTCTATGAAATAAAAATAGAATTACAAGATTAAGTTTTTATACAAATTTTGGTCAATTTAGGGTTCCAAAATAGGGTTTGGGGGACCACTTCCCATTTTCAGTTTGCAAAAAAATTTTACCTATATACTTTTTATAACAGACCTCAACAAATAAGAGGTTGTGCGATTTAAAACTTGAAAAAAAAATTTTTTTCATATAATAAAAAACCACCCTAATATATATATATATATATATATATATATATATATATATATATATATATATATATATATATATATATATATATATATATATGTATA